ACCAATATAAATTATTTTTGGTAGGTAGCTTTTCTATCGATTAAGAACCCAACAAACCAAATTTCAAATTATTCGGTTGGGAAAACGTGTCCAAAACCCTTAAAATACCGAATATTGGGCGGTACCGCTATATGAGGGACTACCCTGAAACTTGGGCCAATATTAAAAATAATTTGGAAGGGAGACCATCTTACCCAATGAGAATACAAAATACTAAATTATAGGCAATTTTTGTTGAAAAAAGCGAGATTAGAATCTTCAAAGTACCGAAATTAGGGAGGTACCGTTGTATGGGGCCTTCAGAAAAAATGAATTAATATTTATGGTTTTGGTAGGAAGATTTGCTGCCCAAAGAGAACCCAATATACCAAATTACAGTCAATTCGGTTCAAAAACATATACACAATCCCCAAAATATAGAATATTGGAGGGTATCGTTACATGGGGACTATACCAAAACGTGATCCCATTTTCAATACCAAACATCCTGGGGGTAGTAGCAAAGTATGTGCAATATTAAGACGTCTAACAATGTATGTGCAATATTTTAAAGCACTAACTTTAATATTAAGACGACATAACCCAACATTTTTTATTTTTATGAAATATAAGTGTACCAACACGTGGATCGATCGATCGAGTAGTAGCAATGTATTTGCAAAATTTAAAAACTCTCTTAACTATTACGAGGTCTAAGTAGTAGCTTATTTTAATTATTTTTTAAATTTATTATTATTATTATTACTTTTTGCAAAATTTAAAATTTTGGATGTGGTGGAATGAAACTCTAAAATAATTTCTTCTAAAGGTTTTGTACCTAACCTAAAAAAAATAAATTTTTAAGAAATCTTTTAAAATCTAAAGGGATCTATACTAAAATTCAAAACGTACAAAATTTCAAAGCTCTATCTTAACTATTACGAGGTCTAACGTGATTTAAACAGACAGACATAACCTCACTTTTTTAATATTTTATGAACTTTTTTATTTTTAATTTTTTTTTTACGAAATGTAACTTGTTGTCCACAATTTTATCACATTATGGATACTGTTTTTGTATTTACCACATTTTTAGATGAAATTTTATAATAATTTATTTTAAAGATTTTGTGTTCTAACCTTTTTTTTAGAATTCTAATCAAATCTATGAAGTTAATTATATTTAAACATTCTAATTAATGAACCCAAAAAAGAAGATTGGGGTTATTTTCATAATCTAATTTCGGTTCTTTATTTGTCATTATATATTTATGGATAAGTTAAAATGTGAATTTCCTCTAAAGATTTTGTGTTCCTAGCCTATAAAATCTATGTTTGTTTTATAATTCTAAATAAATCTATGTAGTAAATCATTTTTAAATTAATCAATCAAACAGGAATCAGGTTAATTTTAACAATCTAATTAACATTTTACCATTTACCATATCAAAATCTCAGGTTAAGGGGGGAGAGATAGGTGGAAGTTTAACCATAACCAAAAGGGTAGGGTACATTATATTTGTAGTATTAATTAGCAGGATTCCATTACAATACCAAAAACTACTTACACATTTAAAAAAAGTTGAGTTGATATTAAAACACGCATACACACACATACAATATAAGCAATAATACATTAGGACACATCAAAACATAAAAATCCTTTCTGGTCGGGGAAGAGAAGAAAACATCATGGGGGCTATATGTTATAGTAAAGAATATTAAGAGACTCAGGTGAAATAAAAAATAATAATTTACAGTCGAAAAAATTAAATTTGTAATAGTTGTTTTTAATTACATTATTGTTTTGGAATATTTTAATATTTGTCCTATTATGACAATTAGTTTTCATTTTTATGTAGTTTAGATAACATTCGTTCAGCAAACCTACGGTTTTAAAGGCTAAGGTTTAGGGTACAAATCAGTAATTTTTCTTTAATAGTTGTTTGTCATGACTTTATATATAATATTCCAGCTAAAAAAATTAAAGAAAAAAACATAACACATTATATATTGACAACAGGGGATCTAAAATTGTTGTCCTTTCCGTTCCAAATTTGTAGTTTTTCGCCTTGTGCTTGTGTCACAATATCCCACTCAAACAATGAAATGGTGTTAAATGGCATTCAAAATTCGAATCGAATGTACAGTTGCCTGTAAAACTAAATAAGCATTTACATTTTTCTGCGAAAAGATATTCAATCCATTCCATATCTTGAAATGTCGGTTTGCGACAATACGGTCTGGAAAATTGAGATTCCAATATAGCAATTTACAGGCATATTGGATAAAAAACCGTTCGCAAGACCTTTAAAATACTAATATATATATATATATATATATATATATATGAGGGCACTGTCAAAAAGTGGGTTTTATTAATAGATTTTTATGCCAGGAGATCTTCCATACATAGAGGACAGCATAATAATATAATATTATTGAAAAATCTATTTTAAAATCGCCTAGCTATTGAAACTCCAATATACCAAATAATTCCTTGACTTCAGTAGGGTGCCCCTCCACAATGTAGGAGAGACCTTCAATCCACTGAGGACCCACATAAGTGTTAAAAAAACTGGTGGTCCTGTTAAATTGAGGACGATTACCTCTATTCACAATATACCAAATAAAAAGGACTTCGGTTGAGTCTTTAGAATATAGAAAACGGAAGGATATTATTATATGGGTTTCATATAGCGAACCTATATAGAAATATTTTTTCACGCGGTTCTTCTATTCATCGGCGTCTCAAAATGTTAAATATTAGCATAATGGATGGATCCATAATCAACCTAAAGACAGTTACATTATAAATTGTGTCTAGGATCTTCAAAATTCTAAAATCTTAATAAATATCTTAAGAGTAATATCATCTCTATTTCTGCTGTTGTGATTTCAAAATATATATCAATGGGTTCACCGAAATATGAAATACCCGACTTGATTTTCAAAACGGCATTTAACATTACTAATTCAGGCTATAAGTTGTAATTCCATTCCATTGTTAAATATTTAAAATAGCTGAAAGGGTTATTAAAAAGATAAATATATTAAAAAATACGGTATTTTTTTAATATAAAATAGTTTTTAAAAAAGTGAGGTTATATGCCCGAATAATTTTTTACAATTATATTTTGTTTATAGTGAAGATATTTGTGAACACTAAAATTAATATATAACCTACTTTATTTATCTAATAATCCAATTAACATGTATTTAAATACAAATAATTCGAATTACAGAATTATGAACAGAAAAAAATCTCTTATTGAGGTTATGTCGAAAATAGATTATCAATGATGCTTTAAGTACTATAAAATCATAATTTTTAAAAGTCATATTGGCTTTATTTGCTTTCAATTTGTTCTTTGTATTGAAAGCAAATCAATTTGAAATTGAAAAAAAATGTTTAGAAATAGGTTAATATACCACTGGTTACACAAAACTCACATATATACAGAATGTAAAATTGATTTTCTATTTTCTCAAACTAAATCAAAACTATTATTTGAATTAACAAGACGAATAATAATATTTTTAATATTTAATTTAAAAAAAGTTAAAAAAAATTAATTTGCTATTAATAAATTAACTTTGTGATATTCAAAAAGTTATTGAAACTATATTTATTGAAACTATATTTTCTCTAGCTAATAGAAAAATATATGAAATATTTTATTTATTTTTTCTTTTATAATATTTTATTTATTTATTAGCCCTTGTTTTAACCTAAAATTTATTTTAGTTTTAATTTTTTATATATTTTATATTTATTATTTATATCTATTCCCCATGATGTTTTCTTTGGTTTTATTATAAAAAGAATAAAAGAAAAATAAAAACATATGATTTTTTTGTTAATTTTTAAATTATAATTAATTTTATTTATTGATTTTTTTGTTTGTTGGTTGTATTTTTAAATATAATTGTTGTTTTTTAATTATTTAATTAATTATGTTGTTTTTTGTTTATTATTTAATAAGAATTTAAACTAAAATTAAAGCATTTTTTCTTTAACGAAGTTAAGATGAATAAAAAATAATATAAGAGAAGGGGTAAAGGGTGGGGGTTGGCGGCCTTTGAAATAGAAAATAATAAAAGTAATAGTAATAAGGGGGAAGGTGGGCAGGGGCTGCATGATTAACATATTTATGTAGTATATAAAAAATTAATTATATATAAAAGAAAAAAGAACTAAAGCTTGTAATTTTTTTATTAAACAAAAATTTTAATGGATATATAGAGGCTATGAAAAATTGTAATGAATAAACTCTTCATTCTCTTTCAATGGTAGAAAGAGTGCAAGAAGAGAATATTTTTATAAGAAGAACAAGAGACATGTAATAAGATAGGAAATATTTAATAGAAATACTGGGAATTTAATTGTTATTATTTTTTGGCATATTTAATAAAGGCTTCAAATGCCAATTTGAACAGAATTAGAAAACTTGCTATTAATTTGAAAAAATTTAACAAAAAAGGTTTTTTATTCAAAATTTGTTTAATTAAATTAAATTAAATTTCTGTTATATATTGTCTCCATAATTTTCGTTTTTTTTTTGGGAATTTTTCTTCTTCCACATCTTGTATATATATTTTGTTTATATATAAAAAATTTTCAAATACAAATAATAATAATAATATTTAATTAATCATAAAGAAAACTAGTAAAAAAATAATAGTTACACAAACAATAAAAAAAGCCATAGTGAAAGGGGTGAAAAAAACTAAAAAAAAATTACAAGACCAAAAAATAAAGTAAAGCTAAAAAAACTAGAGTTTATATAGTTTCTCTCTCTATGTAATGATTTTAAAAATAATTGTTTTTTTTTTAATTTAAATTAATTGATTGCTGTGGTTCTTGTGGTTGTTTCTCTTCATTGTTTTACTTTTTTATATATATTTCTCTGTTTGTTTTTATATATATAAATAATATAGATTTGTTTTTTAAATATTTATTATAATATTTGTTGTTGTTGTTTATAATAACGTATGAAAAAAAGTATTTTGTTTTTGTAGTAGAGAACTATATTTTTTTCGATTTTATTTAATATTTTTTTGTTTGTTTGAATATTTATATAGTTTTTTTTTTAATTATTTATGCCACTATGAATCTGCAAAAGAATTAAGAAAGAAAAAAAGATACAAAAAAGAAAATAAAATAACACACATATAAAAAGGATTTTGTTTACTAAAATAAATACTACTAAAAATAAAATGCTTTAACAAAAATTAGAAATAAATAATAAAAAAAGGAACGCAACAAAAATATGAATTAAAACGAAAAAAAAAAAAAATAATAGAAACGAAAAAGAAAACGACTGTGTGTTGCGTGTTTTTTATATGTAAAATTAAACTTTTAACAAGAAAATGAATAAATTATAGAAATGAAATTTACAACAAAAAAAAAAAACAAAGCATGCAGCAAGACATAACAAAAGCGAGAAAGAAAGAAATTGACGAAAGGAGGAGGGTTGCTAAAAAAATTTAAATTCATAGAAAGTGGATAAATTTGAAACCAGCTGAAGGTGGTGTTTATGGGCCAGCTGAAGGCGGTGGTCTTTATAGGTCAGCCTGAATGTGGTCTTTATAGGCTTATAAGGGTGTCGAAAAAAATATTTTAAAAATCCACGGCTTATAAGGGTGTCGAAAAAAATTATTTTAAAAATCCACGCCTTATAAGCGTGTCGAAAAAAATTATTTTAAAAATCCACGCCTTATAAGGGTGTCGAAAAAAATTATTTTAAAAATCCACGCCCTATAAGGGTGTCGAAAAAAATTATTTTAAAAATCCACGCCTTATAAGGGTGTCGAAAAAAATTATTTTAAAAATCCACGCCTTATAAGGGTGTCGAAAAAAAAATTAAAAATCCACGCCTTATAAGGGAGTCGAAAAAAATTACTTAAAAAATGTACGCCTTATAAGGGTGTCGAAAAAAATTATTTAAAAAACCCATGCTTTATAAGGGTGTCGAAAAAATGTATTTAAAAAATCCACGCCTTATAAGGGTGTCGGAAAAAAATATTTAAAAAATCCACGCCTTATAAGGGTACCGAAAAAAAATATTTAAAAAATCCACGCCTTATAAGGGTGTCGAAAAAAAGAATTATTAATCGACCTACTGAAGGATTTATTTATAGACAATTGTAGGTTGAATTTGTGGTATAAAAAGAATCTCCTAAAACCTCTATTAAAATTTAATAGAGCTCATATAAAAATAATAATAGTTCTTAATTTTTTTTTTTTTTTTTGGTTTATTTGTCCATTTTTTCTCTTTTTAATTTAAACCTCCTTCGACAATTTTTTCTTAAAAAAACTAAACTAATAACAGGAAATTAGTATAAGAAAAAATCCAAACACCATATTTTTGTTACAACAACAATAATGCAGAGACAAAAAAAAAAAATAAATATGAAAATAAGCATGCCATTTTTTTCTCGGAAACAAATATTGTTTTTTTTTCTAAACTACAGTTAATTTTGAGGTTATGAACACAATTGAAAAGTAAAACAATTCAAAATGAATGGTTGGAATTTAAAATAAAAAAATGAATGAATTAACAATTAAAAAAATGAATTGTATTTCAAAACTAACCTGTAGCTGCTTGCGCTGATGATCCCGGCGTAGTATTATTGGCCGTGGCAGCAGCACTTGTGGCATTAGCTGAGGATGAACCAGCAGCAGCTGAAGCTGTTGCACCACCACCTTCACCGCCAGCGCCAGCAGTACGGTGTGCGCTATTTTGCAGATGTTTTGGCAACAATTGTGGTATTAAACTTGGTTGTATTGAAAGTTCTGGAAACAAAAACAAACATTTTGATTAATTCAAAATACCAATGAAAAAAAAAATAAAAAATGTTCCCAACTTACCATGTTCTGTAAAATTGAATAGTGGCGGCATTTCCCGGCCATTTGGTAATGTATGACTACCCTCTTGGCGCAATTCATCGAAGAATGGATGGGCGCATGCTTTCAATGGTGTTATACGTGCACTTGGTGTGTATTCCAATAGTTGCGATACCAAATTTATAGCTTCTGGTGGAGTGCGTATACGGAAAACCTAGAGAAAACAATATGAAATATTTGTTTTGGATTGCATTTTGAACGTAGTCAAACAGGATAAAAAGAAACGTGGGGATCAAAACGCAAGAGGTGGAGGAAGAGAAAGAAAATATAAAGATTTGTAATTAATGGGATTGTTAGAAAAATTTGGTATATACTATTTAAAAGGTTAGTTTGGATTTTAGGGTAAATGGGAGTTAAGGTAATTAAATTTTAAATTAGAATATATTTAGCAGGATTAAAAATAAAGCCAATTATATGAACACCCATTATAAATATATACACGACGATATTTTTTTTATTTTAACAAAAATTAATTTGGAAGAGAAAAAGAAGAAGAGGAGGAGAATGAAAAAGAAATTGAGAGAGAAATGACAATATAATATATAGCAGTTGGAGGTGCTTTTTATAGGCCAGCTGGAGGTGGTCTTTATAGGCCAGGCGGAGGTTGTCTTTATAGGCCAGCCTGAGGTTGTCTTCATAGGCCAGCTGGGGCGGTCTTTATAGGCCAGCTGGGGCGGTCTTTATAGGCCAGCTGGAAGTGGTCTTTATAGGCCAGCTGGAAGTGGTCTCTATAGGCCAGCTGGAAGTGGTCTCTATAGGCCAGCTGAAGGTTGTCCTTATAGGTTAGCTGAAGGTTGTCTTTATAGATCAACTGAAGGTGTTCTTTATCGACCAGCTGAAGGTTGTCCTTATAGGCCAACTGAAGGTGTTCTTCAGAGGCCAGCTGAAGGTGGTCTTTATAGGCCAGCTGGAGGTGGGCTTTACAGGCCCGCTGGAGGTGGTCTTTATAGGCCAGATGGAGGTGGTTTTTATTTGCCAGGTGGAAGTGGTCTTTATTGACAAGGTGGAAGTGGCCTTTATTGACTATAAGGCTCTAGAGAAGATCTGAATGAGTTTCTGGAGCTGCACGGAATCTCTATAGACGAGCTAAAATGAGTCTCTATAGACGAGCTAAATGGAGGCTCTATAGAAGATCTGAAGGAGTCCCTCAGCTGCGTGGAGTCTCTGTAGACTGAAGGGAGTCTTTATAGACGAGCTGAAGGGAGTCTCTATGAACGAACTGAAGGGAGTCTCTATGAACGAACTGAAGGGAGTGTCTTTAAACGAACTCAAGGGAGTCTCTACAGACGAAGTGAAAGTAGTTCCTGCAGTCGATCTGAAGGGAGTCTCTATAGACGATCTGAAGTGAGTCTTTATAGACGAACTGAAGAGAGTCTTTGTAGACAATTTGAAAGGAGTTTCTATAGACGAGATGAAAGGAGTCTCTACACACGAGGTGAAGGCAGCCACTATAGACGAGCTGAATATTGCCTCTAAATGCAAGCTGAAGGGAATCTCATAATAAGAGAGATCTGAAAGGACTCTCTATAGACGAGATGAAGGAAGCCTTTATAGACCAACTCAAGGCAGTCTCTATAGACGAACAGAAAGGAGTCTCTATAGACGAGCTTACAGGAGTCTAGACGAGCTGAAGGAAATCTCTGTGGGCGAGCTGAAGAGAGTCTATGGACTAGCTGAAGGCGGCAACTAAAAACAAGCTGAATAGTGAGTCTTTATAGACGAGCTGAAATTAGTCTCAATAGACGAGCTAAAGGAAGCCTTTATGGACCATCTGAAGGCAGTCTCTATAGACGAGCTAATGGTATTAATCACAGATTAATTTATTTATTATTATTATTTCTTTTTTCTTTCCTCTGATCTCTTCCTTCTTTTCCATTCTTCTACCAAAAAACTCTTTCGTTTCTAATTTTGATTTATTTACCAGAAGAAAACAACGATTTTTATATCGAAAATAAAATTTGATAAGCATTGAAAGCAAATATTTACAGACTTGTTGGTTGGTTGGTTCAACAAAAAACATATCATGGATTTGCCAAATGCCATAAAACAAGAACAACAACAACAATGCAACACGCACACACACACACAAACTCTGGCTTTGTCACAAGCATTTTGTTTTTATTTAAGCAAGGGGTCGTGTGTTGTTTTTATAAAAATTTCAAAAAATGTTGTCAATGATTTGTGTTTCCCAAAAAAAGTGGAGAAAGGGTTAGAAAAAATATTTTGTAAATGATGAGTGTTTTGAGTTTAGGGCTTTGTGTTGTTTGGCCAATTATTAGAAAAAAACGCAAATTAATTTTATAGGTTAGGTAAGGCCAATAAAAGAATTTTTTTAAATTTGTTTTTTTTTTCAATTTTTTTGTTTTCTCAATTCACTGCGTTTTTTCTTTTGTCCTCCCCTCTTCTTCTGGCCCCCACACATTACTAATAAGGGAGGTTGGTGTAAGCCTTTCGTGTTCGTGTTAAAACTAGTGGTAGTAGTGTACGTCGTCGTGACACATTGATGAAGAAGCTTACTCTTAAACGTTGTTTCTGGCTTAGGGCATTTGGAAATTGGGAACGTTCAAGTAAAGACTGTAAATAGTGGATGTTTTTTCGTTTTGATTTTTTTCGTATAACAATAATAAAGAAAAAATAATAACAGATTAGACAATAGAAGAAGACATATTACAAAAATAATATAACTAAATATAGAGAAAGCCAGCAGTTTACAGAACAATAAACAGCACTGAAGGGTTACAAAGTGAAGACTATTGCAATATATTGACTTATGATTTTCAAAAAAGGCAGGATAGGTTTAAGGAAATGATAGTAGGGAATATAGGCTTAGATGTTGTAAGAGAAAGAGTAAGAGAATGGGAGTGATATTACTTACTTTTTGCCATGGATGACTTTTAATTTGTGGAAATTTGAATTCCGTATAATTGGGATTCATTTCACGAATTTGTTCTCGTGTAGGTGTGCCCAAAACTTTGATAACCTCAACCAATTGATCAACGCCCGAATCACCAGGGAATATGGGTTGGCCCAATAGTAATTCAGCTAATACACAACCGGCGCTCCACACATCTGGAAAAAAATAGTCAATGAAATATTAATAAAAATAAACAAAATATTAAAAAATCGAATCAATAAAAATTATCAAAGAAGGGAGGTTTTATAGAAGAGCTGTAGGAAGACTTAATAGATCAAATGAAGTGGACCTTTATAGACCAGCTAGGGAGCCTTCATAGACTAATGGAGGTATTTAAAAGCGAGCTGAAGGTGGTCTTTATAGAGGATCTGTAAGGAGTATTTATTGATCAGATGAAGACGATTTTTACCAACAGAAGGTGATCATTACTGATTAGCTGAAGACGATTTGATGGGACGAATATATTACAAGGATTCTTTATAGACTTTAGAGTGTCTTTATAGATTATAGAGGGTATTCAAGACCAGCTAAAGGCGGCGTCTGAAGGGCGCCATTATAGACGACTGAAGTGCGTCTTTATTGAAGAACTAAAGTGCGTCTTTATAGATGAGCTGAAGGGAGTCTTTATAGAAGAACTGAAGGTAGTCTTTATAGACGAACTGAAGGTAGTCTTATAGACGAGCTGAAGGGAGTCTTATAGACGAGCTGAAGGGGGTTCTACCAATATTTTTTGCTTTAATTGACTATATTTATAGGACATCTGAATGGTGTCTTTGTAGGCCAACTGAAGGTGTTTTTTTTTCAACCTGAAGTCGCTCTTTATAAATAAACTTATGGCTTTCTGTATTGATAAATTTAAGCCGTTCTATATAGACCAGTTAAAGGCGGATTTTATAGACCAACCGAAGGCAGCATTTATAGGTCTCCCAAAGGTTTTATTCGTATGCCATGTGAAGGTGGTATTTATCGACCAGTTGATGGCAGTGTATGATGCCGGTTTTAATAGACTCGCTGATAGCGGACTTAATAAAATGATGAAGGAGGTCTATATAGCGGTATTTATGGACCTACTGAAGATCACATTTATAGACAAATTGAAATCTCTTTTTACAGACCAGCTGATGACGGTTTTATAGGTCACCTGATGTGGGTCTTAATGGACCAGTTGTTGTCGGTCTTTATTGACCAGATGATGGCAGTCTTTAAAGCCAGATGAAGGGTGTATTCGTAGACCAGCTTTAGGTGGTCTTGATAAAGCAAGTAAAGGGTGTATTAATAGACCAACTGAAGTTGATGAAATTATAGATGGGAGGAAGGACAGACAGTATTAAGATTCGCAAGTGTACAATAATAGCCCACTTTGTTAATTTTATGAAAACTAATAAGTCGCTTAAATGTTGGAACAAATTATTTGTTTTTATTATTATTCATTTTGAGTCACCATTATACTTTTGTATTAAATGTCAATTTCATATTCCTCCCTTACTTACCAATTTTTGTGGTATAATTTATAGCGCCAAATATCAATTCGGGTGCACGATAGTATCGTGAACATATATATGATACATTCGGTTCGCCATGCAACAATTGTTTAGCACTGCCAAAATCGCATAATTTCAATACAGCGGTCTCTGGATCCAATAATAAATTTTGTGGTTTAATATCACGATGACAAATACCCAATGAATGTATGTAAGCCAAACTTCTGAATAGTTGATACATGTAAAGCTAAAAGGGAAAACAAAAATAATAAATTAATTAAAATTATATTTAAAAAAAATATTACTCTCTTTACTTACCCTAATAAAGTTAATGGGTATTGTTTGCTTAGTTTTAGCATATTGACGCGCCACTTTATAAACCGTTTCTGGTATATATTCGAGTACTAAATTCAAGAACACTTCATCGCGCTATAAGGAAAAAAGAAAAAACAAGGAACAAATATTGAAATTAGTAACATTTTTGAAAGAATTTTAAAATATATATGAAAACAGAAAAAATAATGAATATGAATTTATTTTATTTAATAAAAATATATAAAATAAAATAGGAAATTTAAAAACATTTATTTTGCATGCCAATAGCTTCATTAAATATAGCAATATATTTTTTTGTTAACAAATAATGAAGGCTTCAATGTTTGGTGTTTTTAATGTTTTTTAAGGATGCTAAAATCCTTCTGCATTTTAAAATGTTAATTTATAGGCTGCCTAAATCATTTTGTTTTTTGAAATTTCATTTTATAGGCTGCTCAGATCCTTCTGTGTTTTTGAAGGATGAGCAGCCTTCTGATCCTTATTAAAAGAAGAGTTTTTAAACAACAAAAATTAATTGCCTACTTTTAGGCTCTCAAAAAAAAAAACATAAGAATTTTAAGAGGAAAAGACTTCTTAAGGATTTTTTTATTAATATGTATAGCCGGTATAGAGAAAGTCTTTAAAGACAAACCGATGGAATCATGATGGACAAGCTGATGAGAGTCTTTATAGACGAGCTTAGAGGAGTATTTATAGGTGAATGAAGAGCAATTTTTACAGACGGGGCGAGATTAGTATTTTTCGACGAGCTTAGTCTTTATATACGAACGGATGTGAATCTTTATAGACAAACCGAGGCAATTATTATGGACCAGCTGAAGAGAGTCTATAGACCAGCTTAGATTGGTATCAATTGACGAATCGAGGGAAGTATTTAAATACGAGCCCAGATTACTATTTTTAGAAGAATTGAAGTGATTATCTATAGACGAACTGAAGGTTTAGATGTAGACGAGTTGAGTGGAGTGCTTACAGTATTTGAAGACAAGTTGAAGGGAGTCATTAAAAACGAGCTGAATGGAGTCTTTATAGACGAATTAAAGGAAGTCTTTATAGATAATCCGACAAATCATACGAGGGCCTAGGCGAGCTAAAGGGAGTCTCTATAAGTAGGGCTGTCTTTATAGACAATCTGATGGCGGACTTTATGAATCCAAAGAAGATCGTCTTTATATGGCCCGCTGAGACTGTTTTTGTAGACAAGTTGAAGACTATTTAGACGATTTAGATTTAGATACCAACTGGAGTCTTTGTTTATGGACGAGGTAAAGGTGGTCTTTATAGATCAGCGGTTGGCTTTATTTATAGACCACATGTAGGTGATTTTTAAGGACCATCTGGAGGGTGTCTTTTTAGAATATGAAAGCGGTCTTTATCAACCACCTGAAGACAGACAATTTGATGGCGGTGTTTATAGACCAACTGAAGCTGTTCTATATAGAAAAGTTAAAAGCGGATTTTATAGACCAACTGAAGGCATTCTTTATAGGCTACCTAAAGGTTTTTTTTGTATTCCAGTTATAGATCAGCTGATGACAATGTATATAGGCCAGATGATGGCGGTTTTTGTCGACCAGCTGATAGTGGACTTAATAAACTAGATGAAGCAGGTCTTTGTGGTCTTTATAGATAAACTGCTGTCGGCCTTTATAGACCAATTGAAGCCGTTCTATATAGACTAGTTAAAAGCGAATTTTATAGAACAACTTAAAGGTTTTATTTGAATTCCAGGTTAATGCTGTCTTTATAGACCAGTCTGATGACAGTATATATAGGCCAACTGATGGCGGTTTTTTTAAAGACCATCTGATAGCGATCTGAACAAACTATACGGATGCTGAACATCTTTTTTATAGACCACCTGAAATGAAACCTTTCTTAATAGACCAGGCGAAGAGAACAGCTTAAGACGGTATTTATATATCTACTGCAGATCGTTTTTATAGACCATCTGATCGCAGTCTTTATGGACCAGCTGATGCCAGTCTTTATAGCTAGATGACCAATTTAAGGTGGTCTTTATAAATCAGGTGAAGGGCGTACCAATTTATAGATGAGATGATGATTTTATAGACCAATTTAGATTTTATTTCATAGACCAGCTGATGGTACTCTTTATAGCCAGACGACCAGCTTAAGATGGTCTTTATAAAGCAGAGGAAGGACAGTGTGGTGAAGATTCGCCAGTCTACAAAAATAGAGATTTTCCTATGCTTCTTCTTTATCATAATTTTAAAGAGGCATTGTTGGTATTTTAAGGTTAGTTTGGATATGTCTGGTTTTTCCCATTACAGGACGTGATCTTTATATAGAAGAATATAGTGTGGACTCTGTAAAAAAAGATGCCCAGGATTTCTTTGAGAATACACTTCTTTCTCTAAAAAAATGTAATACAAACGGATTTCTTTATTAAAGTAATGGCCTTCCAATGCCCTATAAGAATTCTGTGGGTATACCCTGTGAAGGGCGTCTTTAGAAGATAAACTAGGCAGTATTTTGTGTGGAAAATGTTTCCCTTTCTATGAAAGAAAGGTGAATTCCTTATAATTGTTCTTTGAGAAAAATTGTCCTCTAAGACCCACTTAGAATGTTCTTATGAAGTGTGATCTCTATAAATGATAAATCAGTCTAGTTTAAGAATAATATGTTTGGTCTTTTGTACGGAAATATTTTATTCTTATAATAAACCAAGTGATTCTGATTTGCGAAATATTCTCCCTCTTCATTTCCCTTTCTTATTTCTCCCTCTATAAGAGGGCCTTCCTTTGTGGCTATTATAGGTCATATGAAAAACAACATGCTTAGTAAAGTATTGAAACATGCTAACAAGGGCGGAGCTATAAAAAAATAAAATAAGAAAAAAAGGAACATAGGACTTTTTTTAAAAATAATAATTCAAAATGGTAGCATTTTTCTTAATGATGGCGACAATGATCCCATAAATTTCAATTTTTTTTCAATTTACTACATATAAAACTGTGTGTGATTGACTTCCGCAATGTAATGAATAATAAAAAAAGGAATGATTTGAAATAGAAACAAAAAATTAAGCCATTTACAGGATATAAAAAACGAAAAAGAAAAACAAAGTGATGCTGTTGCGGTGAAGGAATTGATTTCTTAGACACTTTGTCACTGGCATACTCTCTAAACGAACGACACAACAACAAATATTTGATTGATTTGATTTTTTTTTTTGGAGGAGCAATATACACAGAATTAAAGGAAGTTTTTTTGGTTGGTATGAAAACGAAAACGTTTTGAGTTTCGAATTATTTCCATTGGTGATGATTGGTTTGAAAATTTGATGAGATTTTTTTTTTTTGGGAATTGATATTGGTGTGAATGTGATTGTTTGTTGTTTTTACTTATGTTAATAAGTAATGGCTTTATAGCTACCTGAGGTTTTAGAACCGAAGCTAATATTCCCACATCAATGGGAAATTCCGCTAACTTTGTATTTTTTTATTTTTTGGGGGGAAGTTTTTTTATACGGAAATTTTGTTTTTTGATTTGTAAGCAATGGGGATTGTGTTAATTTTTTGTTTGAACATTTTTACAAAACAATTTCATCACATTTGTATTTAAGTTGTTGATTTATTTTTTGCATTAAAGATGTTGGTGTTGGGTGTTTGAGCACACACACAGACACGTATATATATATATATATAGGACGCGTTGTTTACAAATCATGTTAATTTGTTGATAATTTTTGTGGTTAATACATATAAATTAGAAAAAATTAAAAAAAAAAAAAAACAAATATTAAACACAAAATTTACAGAAAAGAAACAAAAGGTAAAAGAGACAATAAAAAAAGACGACAAGAGGATTTGTATTTTTTTTGGAAAATGTGAATGAAAAAACAAAAATTGAAAACGAAATCTTCTTCAATGTCCCCCAATATTTTTCTGTTGCAAGTTCTTTTTAAGGAATATGGGAAAAAATAGTGGGAAACTAAGAACCTATTTTAAAAAATGTAAAGAAACCAAAAAATGTAAGTTATCAAACAAAAGCATGCTAAGACAATATTTTGTTCATCTTGTGGATCTGCTTTTTCATCAACATCAGACGAACAAAAAAACAACGGACATTTCTCTTCTTTTTTTTTTTGTTGATGAATTGGTTGTTTGTTAGGGTTAATTGGTTGTGTTGTGTAGCCATACAATAAATTTGTATATATCTAAGAGAAAAAACACAACAAAGGAAAATATTTGAGCTGCAAACCTACCTTTTCACCACTCGAATAGAAGAAATACAAAAGTTTTACAATATTACAATGTTCCAATTTGCGCATAATTTGCAATTCACGATTCTGCAAAGAAACAACAAAACAAATGAAATTAGTTTTTTTCATAATAAATTTAAAAAATACCAGTCCTTACCTTAAATCGTCTGTCTTGTAAAACTTTTTTAATTGCCACCAGTTCACCGGTATCGCATAATTTGGCCTGAAAGACAACGCCAAAACTGCCATTGCCAATCACCTTTGTATCTGTGTAGGAAACTTCTTGTACACGATCGGTACCTTGGCCCGGAGTGGCAACAACTGTGGTAATTTTGGAACCATCTCTGCCTGTTAGGGTGCAAAAGAAGGAAAAGAATTTTGAGTTTAGTATTTTATTTATATATTTTTTTTTAATTTTTCAATGCTATACCCTGAAAAAGATATTTTTGTTGTTGTTGTTCTTGTTGGCTGTGTAAAATGTAGAAAATAATTTGTTTATTTTAATATATTTAATTTCAATTATATATTTGGGTACTTTATTTACTCCCAATTCTAAGGAAATGAGGGAGAACATAAAAACCATTGCCTACTTTTAGGCAAAATAATTTAAAATTAAGAAATTGTAATAAAAATTGAAAAGAAGGATAAATGTGGTCTAGTCGAACAATTTTAATAATAATACCGCCCACAAAAAAACAAAAAACTGAGGACTGCATCATAGCATAGGGATGTGAATTGAAAATATATTTTTTATAAGATTTTAAGCTTGAGATGTTAGAAAAGAAGAAAATTTATTAGGTATTTTTATTATATTTTAATACAAAAAACATTGACTACTTTTAGGCAAAATAATTTATATTATCATAATCTTAATAAAATTGAAAAAGAAGAAAAATATTATGTGTTTATTTTCTATTAAAAAAAAACATTGCATACTTTTAGGATCAAATTCTAACTATCTTATTTTATAATAATAGTAATATTGACGCCCACATAGCTCTTGGGTCGCTTTGAAGAGCATCATTTCATTTATTTGAAAATTGAGATGGTAGAATGAAGTCAGAATCATCAATTGAGAAGATTTATTATATTTTTAATTCCCATTTTTTCAATTTTTATTTTGATTAAAAAAATAGAAAACTTACAAACATTTTTTTTATTAAACTTTTAAATATAATAATTATATGGGAATATTTGGTGCATAAAAATCTCGACTAGAAGAGTTAAAGAGTTAACAATTCTTACAATTGTTTAAGTCGGATATTGGGGAAAATAAATATATATAACGACTTAATTTGAAAAAAAACTGTTTCAGTTCCAACAGAACTAAAAGCGTTTATTGCAAAAAAAAAATATTAGAACCCATTCCATTTTTGGAAAAGACTTAGAACCTCTATTCTAAGCTGAATATTTTTAATTTATTGCCTATTATTAGGCAAATCAGCTGTTACACCAGTCAGCTATTTTTAAATCAAATAAAATCTCAAAGTTAAACTTCAAATTCGATTTGAATCGCCCGCTTAAATTTCTTCAAAAGATTTTGAGTGTCTAGATAAAATTTCGAATATCATTGCCTACATTTAGGAGACAAATATTAGCAGACATCAGCTGATCAGCTATAAAATTACAGGGAAATAATATTTTTCAAATGTATTAATTGAGAGATCTAGAGCTGCAACTCCCATTTGAATCAACCAATTGAGTTTCTTAAAAAAGGTTTTGAGTGTCTAGATAAAATTTCGAATATCATTGCCTACATTTAGGAAACAAAATATGATCAGCTGATCAGATATAAAATTTTTTGGCAAATAATATTTTTCAAATGGGATTTGCGGGTCTTGATTAAAAGCTGCAACTTCCATTTGAATCACCCACTAGAGTTTCCTAATATGGTTTTAAGTATCTAGATTAAATTTCAGGATAAAAACATTAGTAAAATATTAAAATCAGCTGATCTGCTATAAAATTACAGAAAAATAATATTTTTCAATATTTTAAGTGGTTTAACAAAGTTAAATATGATAAATAATAAAAAAATATAACTATACTAGGCTAGCTATTTATATTTCGGCTTCAAAATCAAAAAAAAAAAAAACTACTAAATCTGTTTAATTTTATTTTCTTTTTTAATTTTCAGGAATTATCTGTTTTGTACTAAAAAATCAAGGATGGCAAAAAATTACCAGAAGAGCGGTTATTTATATTTTGGCTTTAGCACCAACATTCATCATTCTGATTCATTGGGTTTCTCGTAGGCACAATTAATTTAAAATTATAGTGCCAACTTTCAGGCTGTAAAGACAAATATGATATTTAATATTCCTCGGCTTTTTATCTTCATCGTTCGGGTCCAATAATATACAAATCTTTTGGATGAAGTATTCTGCTGCTACAATTACTTTCCAGTTCTATTGCATACTTTTAGGCAACGTAATGTAAACATAAATCAGCTGATCAGACCAAAACTTAAAAATTCAACTAAAACAAATAAATCTGCGGTTAAAGTTTGTCGGACTTTATTTTTTATACCCTCCACCATTCAAAAAAAATTAATAAAAAAAATTGATCGGATTTTTAATATGGAAGCTATGGTAGGACGTTTTGACATAAAAACCATAAAATAGCAAATATGGCTGAAAATTGAGCCCAAAATACCGAAATACCGAAAAATACACCCAATTCGAATGAGAAACGTGGACATACTACCCAAAAATACCGAATATTTAGGGGCACTGTTATATGGAACAATAGTAAAAATTGTTGGTAGAAAGATGTGTCACCCATTGAGAACACAACATATTAAATTACAACCAATTAGGTTGAAAAATGAGCCCAAAATTCGCAAAATATCGAATATTTTGTGGCGACTACCCTTAAAAGTGGACCAATAGTAAAAATTTGTCGTTGGAAGATATTTTACACTAGGAGAATCCAAAATTACAAATTACACCAAACTCGCTTGAAGAAGTACCACAAATTATGAATACCTGGGGTTAGAGGTACTATACGAAAATGCGTACCAATATATTTTAATTTTCAATACCCAATTTCCTGGATGTAATAAAAACTTTACAAAATTTTGAAGGCTCTATCTTAAAAATTACGATCTCTATTGTGATTTCACAGTTTTTTTTTACCATACTGTTGTAATTTATTGCCTACTTTTAGGCAAATCAGCTGTTATTTTCAAATTGATTGTTGTTGTTCTAAAACCACTTCTTTGTTTGGTATTTTTTTTTTTAATTTTTAATATTCTATTATAATTTCTTTCAATATTTACCTTCAACTTCTTCCACACCCTGGATTTTCTCTTTTGTCTTGTCGATTTCCTTTGGAATGGAAAGGGCCACACTATGTTCGGGCCATAAATCATTTAGTTTACCAATTAATTGTTTCATGCCTAAGATGAATTCAAATATTAAATTTATTTCCGAACACATGGCGAATGCGATTCAAAAACATAAAATAAAACGTCAAAGGAACCCGACGGCCGTGGAGAATTACAAAAATTTGAGAAAGCACTTAAATTATTAACACAAAAGACAAATTTGAAAAATAATTTTCAACAAAAAAAAAAAAAAATTGGAAATTTGTTTAACTCATTGTTTAATTCGAATAATTAAGCAATAGAGAAATAAAAAAAAACAATTTTTTTGTTTTGAAAATAATGCCAAGAATTGTAGATAAAGAATATTCTTCAAAGAGAACAAAAGAAAAATAAAAAAATATGTGATAAGTGGAAATAAAGGAAAGGAGGAGAATGCATCAGAAATGGATTTGGGGGGTATTTAAACTCTTATCGCAAAATAATTATTGTTATATTTTTTCAAACGGGAACAAAGCCCACAAAACGAAGTAATTCTAAATAATTGATAACAAATAATAACAATAATGCAGGTCAAAAATTCTTCTCTTTATAATTGATTATAAATGAGAGATTTGACATATTTATTTTGTGTAATTAAATTTTGTCGTAAGCAAAATGCACTTCGAGGAGACACAATGACATTTTCGTTTATTGGATTTTCTTTTGTTTTTTTATTTTTATATCCCCCCATCTTCTTTAACATTTTTTCTCTAGCACAGACAGGTGTTCAAAGTTAAAGTGAATTTGAAAAAAAACTGTATATAACAGTTTTCTATTTCCCATGATGCGATGGCAACAAGTTGAAGAGGGGGAAAATAGAATCTGATGAACTATTTTTTCTTCCTCTACTTCTCTGATTTTAGGAAATTAATTATAATTAAAATTGGCATAAACAATTTTTGTATAAAAAATACGTTCGTATTTTTTTAGAAAATTAAAAAAAAAAAAAAACGATTTGGCTAAAATCATTGTTTTCATTGTCTGACTTTTTGGCTAGATGAAGGGGCGTGTAGTGCTATTTTAAAATCAGAATTTTCGCTTTGTTTTGACGTTCACGATTTTAGAATATCCTATACTATATTATACAAAGTAATAATGGAACTCAAATGCAGAGTCATGTGAAAGATACACCTGGGAGACGAAATAAAAATATGCCATAGAAAAAATATACGTGAAATTAAAGCATTGTAGACCGTTTAGGTCAATATTTTCATAACATGAACTTTTAAATGTTCGCTATTAGTTTTTTCACTTAAAATATAAATATGCTATAGAAAAAAATATACGTGAAATTAAAGCATTGGAGACCGTTTAGGTCAATATTTTCATAACATGAGCTTTTATAAATGTTCGCTATTATTTTTTTCACTTAAAATATAATTTTTGTCCACATAACTGTTATACAGAGTGTTTGAAACTGGAAAAATGTTTTAGCAATGCATTATATTATGTTGTTAAGAGTTTGCGATAAATTTCGAACATTTTCTATAGTGTATAACAGTTTCATATAACTGTTATACAAACTGTTATAATGCAAAAATGTGTCAAAAATCGATTGTAAGCAGTGTAGGTAATCCGAATCCATCTTGAATGTTGTACAGACTTTTTGGAGTTGATTAAATCAGAAAGTATATAAAAATCATTAAAAATTATTTTTAGGTAATTCTGAGAATATTTTGTGCTGAAAGTTTATTTTCTACAAATTTCCAATATAAAATAGCTTACAATAATTGAGAACAATTTTAAAAACTTTATTTCAATTTAAAAAACAAAATTATTATTAGAAAAAAATAAAAAAAAAACAAATAATTAATTCATTAATTTTATGAACTTTTTCCTGTTCAGTATGTATTTGTTCATATCACAAGATGTCTTTTTCTCAAATATTTTTATGAATTTAAAATTTTCTTGGATAAAAGATATAAAATGACTTTTAAAAAATTAGAAAATATTTTAGATGATTTATTTAAAAATATATTTAAAAAATTGTAATGTGAAAAAAATTATAAAAATTAATTAAGTCATAAATTGTATGAACTAGTTCATACTCGATAGATATCTGTTCATACTAAAATGCTTTATTTTTACTGCTGTATTTTATATTTAAAAAGGGGAAAAATTGTGGAATGTATATTTTAAAGGACCACTAAAAGCCTTCATATTTCCTTTCATTGTTTTTAGGAATTTGTTCATAGTAAATATGAAATACGTCCACTGATTGGGAAAATATTTGGCAACCTTACTTAAATGTAGAAAAAAAAAAACAATTATTTTATGAACTTTTACATACTCAGTAGGAATTAGTTCATAACGAATTTTTTTGTAATTTTTTCCATTCAAAATATAAAAAAATAGAAAATATATTTAGTTATTATTATAAGTAGTTATAAAATTTATAAAAAAGACTTCACAAATTGTATGAATTATTTCATATTCGAAAGGTATTTGTTCATAATAAATTGATATTATTTAATTTTATAGTTATTGCTTAATTTTCTCTTTGATAGGAGAGTCTATTAATTATCCAAGAACTTTCCGAGCAATAATCTTGGAAAATATACTTGAAAAGATCACTACAAGCTGTCATATTTTCATATATACTTCTATTTCTAACTTTTTTTAAATGTTCAAGACAAAGAACTTCGTATCTATGCTCAATTCTTAGAGAACTATTTTTTAAATTGATTAAAGACCTTGAAGGAGTTCTTTTCATAAATTGTATGAATTTGTTCATTATTTTTTTATGTATTTATTCATAGGAATATCATATTCCGTTGACACTCTTTTCGAATTATTTTTTGCATGATGGAATATGAAACGAATATCTTCTATAATCCAGATAACACTATAATCTTAGAGAATGAGTTATCGAATTGATTACAGTCTTCGGAAGATTTATTTCCATAAATTGTATGAATTTGTTCATTATCATTATGTATATGTATTCATAGCAATCCTATAAACAGTATTTATTTAAAACTATTTTCCTATTTTTGATTTCATGGAATATCATGTGAAGAAATTTATACTTTATTGAAGGCTTGTTTTATTAAAAACTTTAGAGAATCTATTTTCATAAATTCTATGAATTTGTTCTTTCTTTCTATGTATTTGATCATATCAATATTATATTTAGTTTTTATTCGGTAAATTTTTCCTTTTTTCTTTTTATCTAAAGGAATACCAGACGAGGAACTGAATATTTATTAAAGAAATAATCTTACTGGACGCATGATCTCATTTCATAAAATATATGAATTTTTTCGTTACTTTTATGTATTTATTCATAATATATTGCATATTTTTTATGTTATTTCAAATGAAGAGTTGAGAAGGAAATATACAGAATTTTATTTTTAGAATGTCTTACATTAATTCTATAAATCAATTATTTCTAATTCGAAGAATTTGTTTTTAAGAATATCGGTCAATAATATCAGGAAGTATTCAAAAAGTCTTGATGAATAATGTTCGTAATTTTTTTTTTCTGGATGTTGGGAATTGGTTATTACATATATCGTGAACAGATTCCAGTATTAAAAGGTATATTTGTTACAATAAATATAAATATTATTACGATAAAAAAAAAACTAAATTTGAAAACATTTAGAACTTTTTTCCTAAATGTCAATAATATTTACGTATTTTGGGGAAATGTTTTCCTTACAAAATTTTTGTATATTTGGGCATTATTTATCATTTATTCTCCATTTTTAGATTTAATATTGTCCAGAAAGGTTCATAATGAAATTCATTAACTTAATGCATGAATTCATAAATTGTATTCTTTTTTTAGGAACATTTTTCATAAGTCAAATAAATTTGCATTTAATAAATATTCAGTGAACATTTTTCGGTAATTTTTAAAGCATGATTGTGCCTTTACTTTATTAGCAGGGGAATTAATTTGATTGAATAAAAAAGGTAACCCCAACCTGCTTAGCTTTTTCTATCATCGAATTAAATATTTTATACATATTAGGACCTATTTTCATTAAATATAGATATTTTCGTAATAAATTCTTTATCAATTTCGCTAATCTTATGAACTTTTCCATTATTCTTATGAATATTGGAAAGATATTTTTGTATTTAATTTTCTTTGTTACTTCTCCTGGAATCAGGAGCGAACACATACTTTCAATTAATAGGGAAAAATTATAATTTAATTGCTAAATATTATCAAGTTCTTCATTATTTTAAAGACTTATGGATTTTTTAGGAATAATTATTTTAAGGATAATATATATTATGTAAAATAAATTCGGGTTGCAATTCCTAATGAAAGATTGTATTCCTAGATAATAAAAAATATATGCCAGTACAAAATGTAGTTCATCCATCATATGCTTTAAAAATTTTTTATGAATTATTTCATAATTATTATGAACAAAATATGCAACGTTTATTTCTTAAGGAAGCAGAACATATTTTTTGTACCAAGGTAATTTCTTATTTGATTTGTGAACATTTTATGAATTATTTCATAATAATAATGAATTATTCATTACTTTTAGTAACTTTTTTATAAAATAATTAATTATTTGAAATATTGAGAACATCCATTTACTTAAGAAAAAGTTGTGCATTTAACATAATGATCCTTAAGGAATATCTTTATGAATTATTTCATAATTATTATGAACAAAATATGTAACGTTTATTTTTTAAGGAAGCGAAACATATTTTTTTGCACTATAGTAGTTTCTTATTTGGTTTTGGAAGATTTTAGGAAATATTTCATAATTATTATGAATTTTTCAATACTTTAACTTTTTAAGGACATACATTTGCTTAATAAAATAATAGTGAATTTGACCTAAAAATAATTTAGGGATATTTTCGTAAAAAAAAACTTATTAATAAGAATTTTTAAGAAACTGAATATTTCTTCCACCTAAAGGCATTTATCATTTGATTTAGATAAATTTTTTGAATTATTCAATATTGCTATGAACTTTACTTTTAGAAACATTTTCATAAAATAACTGATTAAGTAGACTATTTTTATAAAAAAGAAAATAGTTTGCGCTTAAGGATTTTTTTCATAATTATTATGAACGTTTTCGTAACTTTATTAAACCGAACGCATTTTAGGACATAGGAACGTTCTTCATTTCCTTTAGAAAAATTGTATGAATTATTTCATAATGGTTACGAACTTTTTCATTACTTTTGGGAATATTTTCACAAGACAACTCATTATTTAGATTTGACATAATTAGTTTATTCAGATAAATAATTATTAGGATTTTTTACGAAAAATTATAGTTTTGCACAATACGGCATTCATCATTTGCATTAGGAAATATTTATGAATTTGTCATAATTATTATGAATATTTTCATGACTTTTACGATTAATTTCAAAAAGTAACGAAATTAATTGGAATTTTTTAAAGAAAAGTGTTATATTTTTGCGTTGAATGGCATGTATCACTTGTTTTACGAAATACTTTGGAATTAAATTTCGGAAATATTTATGAATTTTTCATAATTATTATGAACTTTTTCATAATTTTTACGATTATGATATTTTCATAAAATTAATAATAATTTGGAATTTTTAATGGAAAGTGATATATTTTAGGATTTTATGACATGCAACACTTGCTTTACGAAATATTCATAATGAGTATGAACTTTTTCATTGTTTTTAGCAACTATTTCATAAAATATGAACTTTTTCATTGTTTTTAGCAACTATTTCATAAAATAATTAATTTATAGGAATTTTATAGATTTCTTTACGCAATTTCGATTCTTTTGCTGGTCATTTCATTTTTTACTTCCATTTAGGTTCCTTTGACGTTTTTTTTTTGTGTTGATAACTAAATTTATAATTCCCTACTTGGATCTGCGTATTTTTTATTACTACTCGGATTGCGTGTGAGAGCATTTTTATTGATTTTTTTCTTTTTCGTTTTGGAACTTGAAGTTGTTGTCGTCGTCGTGGTGGTCGTTGTTGTGGTCGATGTCAACGATGACGACGATGAACTTGAAGTAGTTGTTGTCGTTGTCGACGACGAAGACGATGAGGAGGAAGACGAATGCGATTTTTTTGAGGCCGTTTCCGATGATGACGCCGAGGACGATGACGATGAGGCAATTTTAAGTTTTACACTTGTTTCCGTTTGTTTGTTGTTGTTGCTGTTTGAGGCTGGCGGTTTATGGAACAACGATTGAGTGGTAAATACCGGCAATGGCTTAGCAGGTTGAGCCTGAAATTTCGGTGGCGGAGTTGAATTACTTTTGTCATTATCATTGCCGAATATATCACCGGTGCTGGGTTTACGAACTATACTGCTGTTACGTCGTACGACGACACGTTTTGTGATAATCCGTTTGACATTGTTACACGATGCCGATCGATTGAAGGTGGGTTTGGTGGCCGTAGTAGTCATATCGTTTTGGTTATCAAAGGCACCCAATGAGCTAAAGGAATTGTTACGAGTATCCAAGGTTGTGGTGGAATCGTCACCACTATCATTTTTCTTTTTCTTGCGGACAATTTTAATTATTTTACGCGGCCGTCCCGTTGATTGAATCACCTTTGGGGACGTTTGCGAATCGGTGAGATTGAATGGATCCACAATTTTGAAAGGTTGAAGTTTGCACAAAAAAAATCAGAAAGAAAAGGTTACGTGATTCCGATTTTTTTTAAAGAAAACCTTCACTTATTTTTTGTTTTTCTTTTTTTTTGTAATTTTTTTTTTACAAAAGATTATGCGTTCACGGTTTTTCTTGTTGTTGTTGATATTTTTTATATAGATTTTTTTTTAAATGTAATTTCAATATATATTTTTTTTTGCTTCGGTTTTTTTTTTGGTTAATGCCTGAGAGGTTAATTGCTTTAACGTTTGTACGAAACTAGTTCAATATTAGCCAAAGATTTTGCATGAGACCCTCATTTGAAGCGTATTACAACAAATTGCATGGCTATGTTGAGGTTTTTTGTTTTTTTTTTATTTTTTCGATTTTCTTTACCTCGTTCGCAGTGGATTCTAAAAAAATCGAATCACTTGTCACATTGTAAAAATCAAAGCAAATGTTCGATAAACCACGAGATGTTTTCCAACCAACAACAGCAGGTTCATCGTCGTCCGTCCGTCGTTCGTCGTCTTCGTGATCGTTGTTTTTGGGTCCTCTAAAGAAGAAAATCGCCGAGAAGGGAGAAGGAGGTGTCTGTTGTTTAGCTTCAAAATTTTCTTCCGATTTTTTTATTTATTTTTTTGCTTTGTAATTGGCATCAGCCAATGGTCTTTTTTTATTCGTGAGATTTTTATTCGGCTGTCAGATTGTTCGTTCGTCTGTCCGTATGTCTGTCTGTCTATATCTTGAACAATTTAATTTTACTCATGTTAAGGTAGTTGCCGCCTTCGATCAATGAAAAAGTGGAAAAAAATAAAATTACGAGACATTACAGTTGGGGGAAATCAATCAGTGGCGTAGCCATGAAAACAAGACAAAATAATTTAAAGAAAAAAATTTCAAAATTTTCTCATTAAATTAAATCATTCTCTTAAGGAACTTATGCCGATCTGTGAGAAAATCATGGCAATTTTTCCTCAAACATTTCTATGTTTAATAGTTTCTTTCCAAACCAAATTGCCATCATGTGATTGATTCCAGAATTGAATTCGATATAGAAATTCAAATATTTTTCTAATATATTTTTTTGCTCTATCATGTTTCGACCTGCTAGTTCTAATTAGCACCACCACACATTCTTTTATCGTTTTTATCATTGGCGTAAATTAAATTTCTATAGCTGATAATTATTTAAATTACATTTGTTATAGAAATGTCAAGAGAGATTCGAAGAGAATGACATGTGTTGAAATTATTTTTTTTCTATGATGGATTTGTTGTTAAATGGATGGACAACAAAAGAAATAATGATAATTAAATTTGAATGACAAAAAGTGTGTGTGGACATTTTCAATATAGATAGGGGTAATAATTATATATGACAACAGATTATAAGGCCAAAAAAGATAACAATAAATAAATAAAGACTTTGCACTCATTAAATAAATTGAGAAGCCAAGGAAAGAGAATAATCTAGAAAAAAATGTGGAAGATAAATATTTTTAATATTTTTTTTAAAATTGAAATAAAATAGAATTTAGAACAACGAACATTAAAAAATAATTGTTTTATAATTGTTCTCAAAAATTCATAAAATGCGTTGATATTTGCTGATATTAAATATTCATGAAAATAATGAACACCTTCATAAAATGTATGAAATTATTCATAAATATATTTTACGTTTTTTTAAGGTTATTTACGTTTAATAAAGACAATCATTAAACAAAGATTTTCTTTAGATTGGAAACTTATTTAATAATATATAGAAATTACTATTGTTTAAAAAAAATCATATAAATAATGAAACATTTCCTAAAACGAATGAAATAATTCAAAATATTAGGCAAATAATTGTTACAACTTTTTCAAAAAAGAATTTATTTAAACAAATATATATTTTTAATAAAATGTGAACTCATAATAAATCATATTATTTTAATATCCCTAGAAAGGAAAGTTTCATAAAATATATGAAATAATTCATAAATAAAATTAAATAATTTTTACGTTCTTTTTTTTTAAATAATTTTTAAACCAATATATTTTTTAAATGGTAACTTAATAAAAAATATATAGAAATTTCAATTATTGAGTAAAGAGTTCATAAAAGTAATGACAACTGTCCTGAAATTTATGAAATAAATTCATAAATTAAAAAATGAAACATTACAAATTACACAGAGAGAAGTTCATTTGAAAAAATATGTAAAAATATCTGTATATTTATGAATAATGGTGAAATTATGTAAAAAAAGGAAATTATTTGCCAACACCGCATAAAATGTAACGAATACTTTCCTGAAATTTATGAAATAAATTCATACATTAAAAAAAGAAACATTACAAATCGGGCGGAGGGAAATTAATTTGCAAAACTATGTATAAATATTGGAATTTTTATACATTAATTGAATACATATGGCGTAAATCCTATATTTTATGAATATGTTCATTCACATTCATAAAATATATGAAATATTTCATAAATAAAAATAAATATATTTTACGAAGTGTTTTGATTATAATAGCTATTAAAATAATAGATAAAACTATTATTACGTAAGAAATTCATAATAATTATGAAAAATTTCCTAAAATTTATGAAAAACCAAATTTTATCAATTATTGGATTTTTTCTAATAAAAGGTACTTATTCGGAGGTCTAGAACTATGAAACGAGTCGGAATATTTAATTTTGATGTTGGGCAATATTGTAGCTATGGACAAGCAGAACATTTTCCTAAAACAATTCAACCGGCAAAAACAGCTCGGAGTACCTCAGAATTTTATAAAAAATTTAATTATTCCTAAGTAAAGACATTTTTTCATAGGCATATAGCTTGGAAATCCTTTGGAACTTGGTTTTACTGTGTTCAGCATTATTGTAGCTATAAACTAGCAGAACAATTTTCCAAAACAACTTTTTCTGCAAATACGTATCTTCTGCCTCAAAATCGGTAAAATAATGAAAAACCGAGTTTTATCAATTATTAATTTTTTTTCTAAAAAAGGTACTTATTCGGAGGTCTAGAACTCGGAAACGACTCGGAATATTAAATTTCCATGTCTAGCAATATTGTAGCTATGGACTAGCAGAACATTTTCCTAAAACAATTCATCCACCAAAACCGGCTCGTAGTACCTCAAAATCGTTAAAAATATTGAAAACCTTTATTTTATAAAAAATTTAATTTTTCCTAAGAATAGAGATTTTTTCGGAGGCATATAACTCGGAAACCCTTTGGAAATTGGTTTTACTGTCGTCAGCATTATTGCAGCTATTAACTAGCAGAACAATTTCCTAAAACAATTCAACCGGCAAAAACGGCTTGTAGTACCTCTAAATCGCAAAAATATTGAAAATTTTTATATTATCAACAATTTGATTTTTCCTAAAAAAGGGATTAGTTGGGAGCGGCTATATCTCAGAACTGTTGTCAGCATTATTGTAGCTATGGTCTGGCAGAATAATTTTGTAGACCAACTTATTTTTTATTTTTTTATAAAAAGGGATTAGTTCCGAGGGATATAACTCGACACCCCCTTGAAAATTGGTTTTACTGTGTGTAGCATTATTGTAGTTGTGGTATGGCAGAACAATTTTCCGAAATAACTTATACCGTAAAAACTCCTTCTTGTGCCTCAAAATCCTTAAAATTTTCAATTTTTTCTTTTTTTATCAAAAAATTGATTTTTTTTCCTAAAAAAAGGGATTTGTTCGGAGGGCTATAACTCGAACCCCCTTTGAAAATTGATTTTACTGTGTTTAGCATTATTGTAGCTATGGTCTGGCAGAACAATTTTCCGAAATAACTTATACCGTAAAATCTCCTTCTAGTACCTCAAAATCCTTAAAATTTAGAAAATATGAGTTTTTATCAAAAAATTTATTTTTTCCTATGAATGAGTTTTAAGTCAGATTTTACTTTAATGATCGAAGTTTTGCAAAGGCAGCCTTTTCTTTTCACTGCAAAACTTCGATAATTAAGGTCGGTTCGAAGTAGTGAAATCTGAGATATATATTTTTCTTTTGAATACTAAAATATTATTTTTAAATAAGAGGGTATTGGAAAATAATTTTTTGGTATTTTTTCTTCTTTTCTGATCCGCTCATAAGTTAAAGACATCTGCTGATATGTGCATCATCATTTTTGTCCTTACTTTCCCCCCCATCTTTCTATCACTTTCTGCAATCTTTATCACTTCTTCTATTTTTTTTTTCGAAATTCTATTTGTCCTTCTCAGTACCGAAAAAAAAAGAAATTTTTCATGGCAAAGTTCAAATCTTTGAAATGCTTCCCGTTTTTTTTCTACTTGCATCGCTTTGTGGTTCGTTCTATCAGAACAGTTGATGACTTTTTATTGACATTCGATGATTATTATCATTTGTTGTTGTCGTTTGAGGTTTTTTTTCGAATGATGATGATTTGACGTTTTCGGGTGATTTTAATGTTTACGTAGTTGAGATTTTTTTGGTATTTGCATTTCTAATCATCATCATGAGATGGATATTGATTTGAGAGCCAAAATATTTGTTCAAACGAAAAAATTGTTTATCACAATTTATTTTTTTTTTCTATTTACCAAAAAAAATAAATAAATAAAAATCGGAATTGAGTGACTCTAAAAATAACGAAAAAAAAACATGTTTGGTTATTTTCAAAACCGATTTTTTTTCTCGATTTTTTTTTTTTTTTTTGACAATTTGACATTCACTTTGATGATCCACAACATTAACATAAATTACGCAGACAGAGGGAGGAGTGAACCTCATAAAAACCACAAATGCGGCAGGTGTTAATGGAAGGCACAGTGGTACAAAATTTGCAAAAAGGATAATTTTTTAAATATTTTTCTTTTTATAAAAAATTTAAATTTTATGAAAAGGGGCCCTTTTGTTATTTTGTTATTTTTTTTTTTTTTGATTTTTTTTTCTTTTCATAAAATTATTATTTTT